TATATATATATATAAACACCGTAGTGTGTCACATTGTTGATACAATATGATTTTTTGTTTTTTTCCCCCCTCATCTTCCCTTGTGTGGTTTTTAGTTTTTCTGTTAAGGGTTGCGCTTCCTCATGATGTCTTCATGAAGATGATCCTTGCTCTCTCCAGGGTCTGTGGCTGCATGACTCAGAGCACCTGTTCTCCCATGTTTGTTATGTGTTGTCTTCTTCTGAATGGGTGTTCTGAACTGTAATTTCATTGTGCTCTGTACAATGAAAATAAAGGTCTCTGTAATCCAACCTAATATATCTGTTCAGTTTTCTTTCCTTTGTTCTTAGCCATGGCTCGATTCATGCTTTTGTTTTGGAGTTTCTCAATCAGGAAGTGCTGCTCTCTGCTTTTATTTTGTAGCAACACTTCTCACTAAAAGTCAGTAAATTTCATAAAAACAAAATGACATCAAAGTGTCTGCTTTTCAGGCAAAACGTTACATGAGCGTAATGTTATCTTGGAAAAGAAACCATGCAAGTTAATTTTTTTACTTTTTATTTTCCACTAGCAATCTTGTACAGACATGTATATAAATCCAATTTTATCCCATTTCACAATTTTTCTTGTTTATACATCCATCATTAAAGATAATTGAACTCCACTGATCATACATGTTATTTATTCTGTTACAAGTTGTCTGGACGCTGTCACCGGAGGAAGAAACAAACAGAACTACACTTCCTTCAGTTGTACAATTCCCGTTATAAACAAAGAACAAGTAAGCAAAACATAAAAAAATTATTAATAATTACAAAAGTCCAGAGTGTATAATATACCAACACATAAATAGAGGTGTCAGGATTTCAGGATGAAATTTATTGGTCTGCACTTAGATTCAAACTTCTCTACCTTAAATTGTAGTTTAGACGTTTGGGGATTGTGGTTTTAGCCAAGCAGCTGTGATACATTTCTTCACAATCAGAAGCAGAATTCTAATCAAATATGCATTGTTTTTGTACAGGTTATCTAGGGGAATTATTCCTAAGATATACGGATTCAAATGTAATTGAATGCCTTAAATACTTTTTATCTCTATTTGTGTCTCTTTCCAAAACTCGACCACTTTTGGGCAATCCCAAAATATATGAGTAAAGTTCCCCATCTTAGCACAATTTCTCCAACATAACCGAGTTGTCTTATTATATTTTGATGGGATGATTGGCGTGTTGAAGTACTGCATCTTTACTTTCCAGTCAAACTTCCTCCATGTCGGGGTGTTTGTTAATTTATGTCCATAACTGAATGTTTCTTCCCAATCCTCATCTGTTATCATTATGTTAGCCTCTAATTCCCATTTCTCCTTAATTTCTGTATTATCAGCGTTAGATTCATATTGTAGGCTTTTGTATATTATTTTTAAATCAGGCCTTTTTGTAGTTCTCCTTTTGTTATTAGCATTAATACTTCTTCTATCTTTGGCATGTCTTATGAAATCTTTTGCCAATCATCGTGATTCAGAAGATAATGCCTGAGTTGCAAATATTTATAGAAAAATCTTTTTTGTTGTTGTTGTTTAAATTCCCCTTGAATTTGTTCAAGTGATTTCATTGTTGATCCTTTAAGGACCTGTGCTTTAAATACAAATACCGTTTGTCTATTTTTCAAATCCTATGTCCAGCTGGGATAAAATCAGGATTCTAAGCTATTTTTACAGCTTTTGATATAGAGTCAGGAGGTTACATTTCTTTTTATTCTTGACCACATATTGATTAATTGTTTAATCCAATAATTTTGAATCTTAAGCCTTTTCCAAATCTTTTTTTTATTATAAATAGTAATAATGACATGTTCAGACAACACCTCTGTTCCATCTCTACCAATAAGTTTCTGTATCCTTTGTTATCAATAGGGCTATGGCTCTAAGATGGGCAGCCCAGTAATAGTTCCTTAAATTAGGTAAATTTAGTCCTCCATTGTTTTTTGCAGATTGTATTACTTTGAATTTAATTCTTGCCTTTTTATTTTGCCATATATATTTTAATATTCTTTTATCTACCTCTTTAAAAATGAATTAGGGATGACTATTGGAAGTAACTGAAACACAAATATAAATCTTGGTAGGATATTCCTTCCTTCCACCGAGGGTCAGTGGAAGGATCTCCCATCTTTCTAATTCTTTTAGCAAGATTTTTTTTTTAAAAAAAGCAGCGTCAGGTTTTTTCTTCTTCCAGTGTGCATACCAGCAGGTTTGTCTGAAATGTTTTTGAAAAAGAAAAAAGCTTAAACACTACATTTTTTGTGAGGAAAGGAGGATTTTAGCTGAACGATAACTTGACTGTTCAGCTGTTGAAAATATGACAGAATCATCAGTTGCTTGTGGACACAGGAAACTGCACAGTTGGACTTTTATCCGTGAGGTTACGCAATGTCAAGGCAAAAAATATTCCAACAAAAGATGGAAAGTAAAAATAAAAAAAGCAAAAAGTGTACATCTCTAATAGTGCTGTAATTACTCTTCTAGTAACAGGATATTTTCAGCCTGCGTTGCCAAGTAACTTGCAGAAGCAAACCCCCGCTGCTCGTTCTCAAAAATCAATGAGAAAAGTGTTTGGTTTGTACCTCCTCATTAATCTGCACGAGACCTCATGACTCTTTGAACTGGCAGAGCTCCAGAGGCGGCTGGCTGCGGTTTGCCTTGCACAGTGTGTGTGAATGTGTGTATGTGTGTGTGTTGTAATGTGCAGTAAAAAGGGCCTCAAACCCCTTCAAGAGGTTGCACTTTGAGAATGTCCTAGGTGCTAAAGTACTGTTTTAGTGGTCCAACTGTGTTACCTTTGGTTTTGTTGATTCCAGAAATGAGAACTTTTTTTGTAAAAAACAAAATAGTTATTTGTTACGTTTGGACACAGCACTGGTTCATCCCTTGAGAAGATTAGAAATCCAAATTACACTTTCAGATTACAAGAAAGTCTGTTTCCTTCAAGACAAAATAAAAAGAAACACACACAAGTAGAGTTTTGTGTGTTTGACAGCTTAACACTGCATCCCAGACTAAAAACGTGTTTGCGATCCGAATCTTTTGACCGTCTCCTTACAATGAAAAATAGGAACTGAGTTGTGGACAGTAAAGAGTCGTTCCTATTTTTTTTTTTACTACCGTATTATATTTTTAAAAAATCCCCAACATAGAAAATCGCTCCTCCTTCACATTTTCATGGAAAAGAGGGGCAGAGCACAGCAGCTGGGGGGAAAGGGGGAGGGGCATCTGTTTGATTAAATACCGCCCACATGATGTGATGATGTCACTTAATGGCTCCGTGAAACAAATCAAGATCCAAATCAGTGGCCAGATCAAAGATTTTCTGAGAGGCCATCAAGGGACCACAATAGTCATAGAGAGGCCAAGTATTTTTTATCATCCTTGCACGCAAATCCTCAGTTTTGGCAAGGTGTCTACATTTAACCAGTAACACATGTTCAAACACTTGTCATGTAATATAATAATAAAAAAAACTTGCAGTAAATTCTCTTACTGATTTAAGGGCTCGACACACGGGAGGCGATTTCGCTCGCTCTCCATTCATTTCCTATGGAGCCTGTGCGGTGAGGCGACAATCGCTTGCCCTCCTCCAGCTAAGCGACCGGCGAAAATAGTGCACGTGAAATTTCGCGCTCGTACAGACGTGCACACGCGAGCTTGTGACGTGACATATGAAAGTTGAAAAATGTTCAACTTTTGTCGCTGTCGCTTAGCGTACAACCAATCAGCGAGGGTTTCATTGGCTGACCAATGAGAGGAGAGTATGCTACACACTGCCGTTAGCTAACACTTTCACCAAGGGATTACTAAAAAGCTTTGTGGGAATTTATTGGCACCAGGGTGAAGTTTATGGTAAGTTTTTCCTCATAAAACTGTATCTTGATGTGCGTTTGTTTTTCAATATCATCAGCATCGCAAGATTTGTTTAGTTTACATGTCCGTAATGCACACCCGCCGTTCGAGTCAAGAACCAATCAAATTTTGTGAAGACAAGCGACCTGAGAGCGGGATTCGCAACGCTGCGATCGCTATCGCGTCCCGTGTGTTGGGTTTCACCCTGGCTGCGATGATAGCCGTCAATCGCTGTAGTTTGTCGCTGCCCGTGTGTCGAGCCCTTTAACATGCATTTTTACTGTTAATAGATAAAACACTCTCAAGCACACAGCATGTGAGTAAAAACAGCCATTATTTGTCAGGTGAAAGACTTTTTCTGCAAGATTGCTCAAATATTCTGAAAAAGAGAAGACGTCTTCTGTGAGCTTGATTCATGCTGGTCTTTCCTATTTGACTCATTAGCGCCACTAGTGTTTGAACATGGAACTGCACCCAACAACACTGCTCTTGAGCAAAGGACAGATGAGTGACAGGACAGGGGCACTTCAGGGAGTGTTTTTCCACTTGTGTGGATCAGACAAGATGTGGTCTGTCACATTAGGTCCTCACAACCATATCAAGACTTGCACACACTGACAGGTTTGTGTTTCTATCCTTATTAGGACCTTTCATTGACTCCCATTCATTTCCCATTCAGTTTGTAACCCTGACTCTAAATCTAAACCTCAGATTATAAGCACCAACACTGAAGGCTTAATGTGCTTTAAAAAATAAAATGTTTTCACAAAGAGTTTAGCAGAATGTTGTGTGACAGTGCTTGGAAATGAAATGTTTCTCCAATTTATTTATTAATTTTTTTTATTTGGAAAGTTTATTTGCATATGTAAC